TCAGCTCATGCTATGGCTTCTCCAAGGACTCTTTCCCTGACAAGGCCGAATTCCTCAAAGTCATTCCTCTCCTCTATTTTTGTAGTACCTATCCTATCTGCAATGCTGCCCGTATGTATGAATCCTTTCACAGCTCTGTGAAGGTAAAGGAGCACAATGTTTGTCTGTGCTCACTATTTTATACTCCATGCCTGGCACAGTGTATGGCATAGGGTAGATGGTAAAGATCTGTAGAATGAATGAAATGATGAATCAATCAATTAATCAAACCTCAGCACTGTCAAACACACAGTATAAAAGTACCTCACCCAAGAAGTGTGGTAGAAGAAGAACATGGAGAAATAACTCTTTTACCAGGCTCATGTGAGAAGCAGCCTAACAAAAGCACAGAAAAAGAGGTACCAGACTTCAGAGGCAGGGGAGATGGCTTTCAGAGAGGGCCCGGGATCTGGGAGAAGGTGGTGGTTAGAAGTGAGGCTTTCAGGGGAACAGGTGGATGCGTGAAATGCACGTAATGAATCAAAGAACAAAAGGCAGACAAACGGGTGAGTGAAGGCCTGGAGGCACCAACGCCTCTGAATGCAGCCATAGGAGGAGCGAATGGACGTGTGGTGAGGTGTGGTGAGGTCACGAAGAAGTATGGACATGTCTGCAGGCAAAGAGAAGGGATCTAAGGAGGAGAACTGAATGATCACATCTGTGATGACGACTGTAGCTATGCCTTCAGGAGAAACAGGGAGGGAGAGGCAAGGAGCAGGGGTTCAGAAGAAACAGATGAGGCCAGTAGCCAAGACTGCACTAAAGCACCTAGAGGGTATGGAAGAAAGTGGACAGAGCCACACGTGGAGGCGGGACTGCCCACGTGGCTTATAGGTAAGACAGTGGCAAGTGGAACTGAAGGAGCCTGTGGCTATGCCATGCTGGAAGGCACAGTGGTGAGAGGACACTATGAAGGGTAAGAGAGCAGTGGTGAAGTGCCTGGCTCTGCCAGACCACTAAGCCCTGGCTCAGCAGCTGCCAGGTGGTGGTCTTCAGCAGGTCCCTTCACGCCTGTGTTTCAGTTTCCTTCCTGTCAAACAGGCTCAGTGACAATGTCTCCCTCACAGGGCTGATGTGAGGACCAAATGAGATGAAATACTAATAGTGCTCAGCAGAGTATCTCACACATAGTAAGCACTCAGGAGGGGCAGAGAGGGGCTGAGTGTGTTGGAGGTAGATAGATACACAGACGAAGCCAGGGTCAGTTTTTGTAATGCAAAGTAGAAACAGACAGGACAAAAGAGTCAAACAGAGCTCTGGAGTTCTTTTAGGAAAAGATGGAAGAACAAAGAGGCAAAAAAAAGGAGTAGTCAGAGGAGCCCCCAAATACAGTGGGGTCCTCCTCCATATTTATCTATGCATTCACACAGGATTCCACCAACTATGCACTGAAAATATTCAGATAAAAATAAGTGCAGCTGTAGTGAACATGTCCTGACTTGCTTGCCGTCATTCCCTACACAACTCACTGTAACAACTATTTACATATCATTTACACTGTATGAGGCATCATCCATAATCCAGAGATGATCCAAAGTAAACAGGAGGATGTGGGTAGTTTATAGGCAAATTCTATGCTATTTTACATGAGGGCCTAGAACACCCATGTTCAGGTTTCCTTGAGGGGTCCTAGAAGCAATCCCTTGCTAATACAGATGGACAAGCTATTAAGTGTGGCAGTAAAGGGAATAAGAAATTTCTCAAAACTGATGGTGGTCAGCAGGATCAAAGGCTGTAGCAAAGTGGAGAGATGAAAAGGGCTGTTAAGGTCTGCACTGTCATTATCATTAGAGAGCCACATATTTAAAACACTAATTCATACTTTATTTCTCTACAGTGGTTAAAAAGAAGAGACCATCCAACACCACATGCCAGTTGCTCTGCAGCCCTATGCACTGCTAATGAGGCAGCAACACCACTTCGCAACTGGTAATTTAAGAACACACCTGCTGTGTATGTGACCCGGCACTTTCACTCCTAGGTGTTTATTCTAGGGAAATATACACATATATGCACAAAAAGCCTTGCAGAAGCTGCTCACACAAAGCAGCTTATTCATAATAGCCTGAAATTAGAAATAATCCAATTTTCCCTGTTAGTAAATGAATAAGCAAATTGTGGCAATTTCACACAACAGAATATTTCAAAAAATAACTAATAAAAAAGAACAACTAGTGATATTCTCAGCAGCATATTGTGTGAAAGAAGGTAGATACACTAAGAGTGTACTATATGACTCCACTTATACTAAATTTGAGAAAAAAGCCACCAGCTTTACTAATTAAAAAGCATAGATGAGCTCTGGGAGAAAAAATCTCAGAAAGTGATGAAAACCAAGCTCCACCGTTAGGATCAGGGAGAAGTGAATGGTGAGGAAGCAAAGGATCAGGTACCAGAGGTCAGTGACCAATAGCCAACAGGCCAGATCCAACCCACAGGCTTGGTTCTATATAGCTAAGAAGCACTTTTTACATGTTTCCAAGGCTGTATAAAAACGATAAGCAAAACCAATAAAAGAAAACCAAGATGAATGTGAGACAGCATATGTGACCCACCAAGCCTAATCCACTTCCTATCTGGCCTTTTACAGAAGGTTGGCTATTCCCTGATGAAGACTTTCTCCCCAAGTCTGGCACTGGATTGAAACAAAGTGACAGTGCACATGGCTTCAGGAGGAACAAGGTTAAGTGCATGAGCTGAAGGGAAGAAAAGAGTGTGATCATCAAAATTAGAGGGGAATTAGGAATGTAGCAATGATCCAGAATCAGTCGGAATGATGAGATGAGGAACCCAAGTTGGACAGTAGGACAGCGGAGGAGAAATAGGTACAGCAGGTGAAAAGAAGAGAGGAGGCAGAGAGGCAGAAGAGAGAAGTCCTACCAACACTCCAAACCTCAGAGGAGGCGGTGGCCTCAGCAGGGGCAGTCCCGACCACTCTGGATATAAACCACCACCTTCCTCAGCAACCCTAGGTCCCATAACCTGACTCTACTGTGTCCGTTCCACAGGACCTAAGTGCTTGTCTTTGTTAATCCCTAGAATGCAAGCTGCAGAGAAGCAATATTTGCCTTTTTTATTCCATTATGTGCCCTAAGAATCTAGAATAGTACCAGGCACTGAGCATATATTCAACAAATATTTGGTGCATGAATTAGTTAATTTGCATAGATTGAGATGGGAAGACACTGAGAACATGAACACAACTGAAACTGTGGGCCAGATAGTTCCTTCTTTGTCCTCAGACATTGCCAAGTGTCCCCCACAAATCAGCTGTGGTTGAGAACCAATGGGCTCATCAGGGACCTTATGTATTTGGCACCAGGGATTAAACCCAGTGGGGCTTAACCACTGAGTCACATCCCCAGCCAATTTTTTTTATTTTGAGACAGGTTCTCACTGAGTTGCTGAGGCTGGTTTTGAACTTGTGATCCTCCTGCTTCAGCCTCCTGAGGCACTGGGATTACAGGCATGCACCACCACATTGGGCTCATCATGGACAACATGAGGAGTTCATTCATTCATTCATTCACTGACATATATTTAGTTAGTACCAAGTATGGGTGAGGCACTATGGAAACAAGAATAAAAAGCTGACAAGGTCTCCAGTCTCATAAAACTTAAAAATTATTCACAAAGATAAATAGTAAACTATGTTATTATTATTGAATAATCACAAATCATGCTTTGTCATGAAAAAAATAAGGTACAGGAACAAACAAAAACTCCCAGGTCTATTTTATAAACGGTGGCCCAAGATGGCCTCTCAGAAGATACAGCATTAAAGCTGAGCACTAACTTTTGAAAAAAGACCACCATGGGAAGAGGAGGAACAACACCAGCTGCCTGTGCCAGCATCAGGAACGGGCAGGGAGACTTCCAGGAAGGCTGGCATGCTCGTCACCATGGCAGGAGCATGGTGTGAAAGAGACGAGAACAGGCAAGGTCAGGTGTGGAGGCTGCTGCTGACAGAGAGCAGTGGGGCATTCACGCTGGGTCTCCTTAGGGGTGACTAATCCAGGGGATACTCCAAAAGGTGATGGCTGCCAAGTAGAAAGGGGACCTAGCCAGAGGAGGAATATGATCATGAGTTACATTAGAGGCTGAATAAAAGTACTTATAAGCCCCCCAAAATGAAGGCCAAGTCAAAGTGAGCTTGTTGATGTCTCTAGCAAGTGTCAGAAGCCTGGGAGAAGGACAAGGAAAGAGGTCATGAGGACTGAGACTGGAAAGGGCAAGAAAGGCCTAACACAGTGAAGTGAAGGCGCGAGATGAAAACATGCTCACAAGGGCACCACCCAAACAGCAAGGCCAGTGTCACAGGCTGGGACAGCAAAATACAGACAAAGAGAGTCAAGCAAAAGCCTTGAAAACCTTGTCCCATCCTCAAGGTTCAGGTGATACAAATACACGTGCTCCCAGTTTTATGTACTGCTCTGGTAAGAAATCAGAGTATCACATGCTAGGATGTAATGGCACCCATGGAGATAGAGACCAGAAGTTGTGATATCACATTGCTGTGGGAACACAGGCACAGCAGCTCTGAGTTTTCTTCGGTTCTGCACATGTTCTTCCACTGCTATGCTGATCTTCCTCATTACAGCTCTGAGTTGTCAAGTAAGAAGTGAGGACAAAAAGCTTAAAAGGGCCGGGCATGATGGCACATGCTTGTAATCCTAGCAGCTCGGGAGGCTGAGGCAGGAAAATTGCGAGTTCAAAGCCAACCTCAGTAAAAGCAAGGCACTAAGTAACTCAGTGAGACCCTGTCTCTAAATAAAATACAAAATAAGGCTGGGGATATGGCTCAATGGTTGAGTGCCCCTGAGTTTAATCTCCAGTACTCCCCTGTACCTCCTCCCAACCAAAAAAAAATTAAGCTCAAAAGGAACATAGGAACAAAAAAGAACATAGCCGTCCAAAACCAAGTCCCCCTCCTGGCCCCCCCTCCCCGCAAATGCACTTACCTGTAAGCATTAATATAATCTTTCCTGTGTTCCAGAAGAAAATCTCTCAGTTTGCCAATATGAGAAATCTAAAATTAAAATAGAAAGGATTTCATTAGATTAGATAGACTACACTAATGCCATGAAAATCAAATTAACAGAGAATGGAATGCAGCCTGCAGAGAATGGGAAGCTATGAAATGAGCAACTTGAGGTTTTAGTCATGCAGTTACTGACTTGCCAACATTCCTGGGCCTGGTCTCCTCTCTTATGAAAAGTTCCTTCCTTCTACCTCTCATTGCTGTGATCTATGACACTAGGAACAGGTGATCTCTAAGGAATACAGAGACTAGCTAAGATAACTCCTGTCTAGGAGTTATCAGACTGCAGGAACTGTGTGTCTTCTATCTACAAGTAAGCATTTCTTCTCTCATGTGTTGCAGAAGATGGATTCTAAGGGTGAAATTAGTTGTGTAAGTAGGGCCCATAATGCTACAGGGTTAAAAAAAGATCTGGAGGAATGATTATCCCTGTGCAGCGAATCTCTGTTTTCCCTCTGATTTGCTTCTATGGATGAACAACAAGATACCAAGTACATGTACAAAGCTTTGCGCTCATGCTGGCCAACTCTTGCTGCAACAGAAATCCACTCTGGAGCCTCTACCATGTTCCATACTGTGTGTGGAGCTCAGAATTCAAAGTTAAGTAGAGGCAGGGAGAAACTGGAATCATAGCTGCCAGGGACTGAAGTGTTTCCAGAAGGAGAGGGTGATGAACTGGAGGTCTGCTCTGTCCTCTGGACACTGATCCAGTCCCCATTCACATTCTCTGTACTCCTGCCAAACACTTGTGCTCTAGCCTTGAAAGGTCTACTGAATTTTCATTTCTTCCACACATAAAGTTTTCCTGTCAAGGCTAACTCAAGCCAATTTTCACTTTTCTTTCAACTTAAAAGGACTTCTACACACCACCCACTTGGCACAATCAATTACATGCATCCACGTACTCTGACTTCACTTTTACACATGTGCCTCTCTTGGGACATTATGAACTCTGCAAGGAGGAGTTGCACAGTGTTCCCTACAATTCTAGGCACAAGAACAAAAGGTGATCAATAAATATTCATGGAATGAGGATATGTCTAAATATCAAATAGTACTTGTCATAAAAGAAGCATTCTCAGTTCTGGAGATAGGCTGAACTTGCAGGGGTTCAGTTAAATTTCCTGCATGGTCTAGACTATTTATTATAAATGTGGTTCAGACAGATACCCTAAGACACTTAAGAATATGGACCAAAGAAAACAAACATGGCTAAGATATTTTGTGCTTATTTCACAGATAAACAACACGTCGTCTCTTTTTCTTTCCAAGAGCCCTGCTGCATGTCTTGATTATTCTGGTCTTACTAGCCAGTGTGGCAAGGCTAGCCTCACAGAAGCTAATTGACTCACCCAAGCTCATACACTTGAATTCAAGCTCAGGACAGTCTGAGCTTCCTTCTACGCAGTCCTGCTCCTATTTTGCACTTAAGCTGCATCATGGAATCCGACTTTATAAGTTTGTCTGGAAAAAAATTTAAGAGATGTGCAAGCAATGTCTGACTACACTACATACAAGCTTCCATCAAGTGACTCTTCTTCAATGTTTTCCATCTCCTTTCCTGCAACCCCTGCTACCAGGGGCCAAAAATTCTTTAGGGGCCTCAATTAGGGGTCAGATAAACCACATAAAGGATTGAGCAAGGGAAGCAGGTAGATAGGATACATGGGATGAGGTCTGCTTTCCAAATACACAGCAACCAAAGAAGCAGCTCTGCTGGCTGATTGGCTAAAGGGCCACTGAGGCCTAACCTCAAGGCTTAACTAATGGCAGCAAGTCCACTCTCATCCCTGGCACTTAAGGCCTGTGGAGAGCTGCCCCTGGGCTGTGTAGGACTATGTTGTGCATCATAGCCTAGTGACGGGATAGTCTGGCACTGGGAACTTCCCATGACATCCCCACAGGGATAGACCATCTGATTCAGGTGAACTTCCCCCACAAGCTCTGCCAAAGATCCCACACAGCACCTGAGATGGGTGTGACCTGCCAAGATGCCAATCAACCTGCTGACTCCAAGACATCACCAAGCAAGACTCCGCCCTTGAAACATTATCCCTACCTTTGATGTACCCACTTAAATAAACCATCAGAGCCATCTTTCCTTTGTCTAGTTCTAGCTCTTGTGTGGACTGGATGTATCAAGGGCTCTGTTTTTGTAAAAATATTTCTGGCTTTTTATGTTTTGTTCTTCACTAATTATTTTAGACTTTTAAGTTTTCAGGCAGCTTACACCCTCCTCAGCAGGAAGAAGAACCACCCCCCACCATGAGACACTGGCTGTCATCCCT